TGCTTATTTATTGCAACAAATGAAGACGAGACCTGTCCAGGTCCTAATCCCAACGTTATCACTCCCGATGCTGGTCAGTACCCTTGAGGTTTAATGCTGCTACAAGAGTTTATTCAAGCTCCTTTTAGGACCAATTGTGGCAGCAATCCGATGTGCATCAGGTCGTGAACCCATAACAGTTGGAAAACCTAACACACCTGCTTTTGACTACATTCAACGACGGTGGAACATCGATCCGCAGCGAACCATGATGGTTGGTGATAGAATGAACACCGATGTGAAATTTGGAAGAGACCATGGCCTGAAGACGCTTTTAGTGCTTTCCGGCTGTCACCAACTTGAAGATATCACGAATAATCGTCAAAATGATCGTTTTGATATGGTTCCTGATTACTGCGCAACTTGTTTAGGAGCTCTTGTTGATTCACGAGTACAATCTTGAGTTTTTTTGGATTAAACAGTTGTCCTTGTTTGTACATATCTGTTAGTATTGATCTGCTCAAGCAAGCGCTCCATTATGGTGATGTGTATTGTTTAATGGTATCACTCTTTTTGACATGCTTTACAATGCAAAATACTTCCGTTTCTTTAACACGAATAATATGAAATCTTTGCTGTAAAGAAATGTGCTACTAATTTGACAATTTTTGTTCAACAGAAAAGAATGACTGATAGTTTCGAAAACTTCAAATTAAAAATTGATGAGGTGTGCACCGCGAACAGTCGTAACTTTTCCCATCGTCCAAGGAAGTTGTTGACCCACACATTCAAAAATCTTCGAACGACGACCTGGTCCATGCAAGTAGAGGACTTTCACTGTTTCTAATTCCATCCTTGTAGACGACTTGTCCAATTCTTTATGGCTTACATGACATGGAACGCCAATTTTTCCATACGGAAATTTCAATATATTTGCGTGTTTGAGAGTTTCTTATTCCATTGCTCTACTGTATCTGGGGTGGGATGTAATGGGATCACCAAGATTAGTTCTCCTATCCGGAGAGTTAGCTGACGAGGAGCCACTCCCTGTACCCACCATGCACGGAGTTGCGGCGCTGATTGAGTAATTGCTCGAGCAAAAACGTACGGTGCGCTAGCAATGTATGCTGACGCATACCGAAAAGGCCCACTGGATTTGTCACGCTGTCATCCATGGTCACTCCTCTTCCAAACTTTACATGTTTCATGCTTTTCTATGAATTTATTTGCGGCATGTGGTAGTTCCTACCTACGTTCTCAATTTCCAAATGGCTTTGTTTTCTAGCTGGGACAGATTACATTGATCTTTGGATAGCAGTTTGATTGGTTAGATTCATTTTCAAGGTGCAGGTGTGCAGAAAGAACAAAGCTCACCCAACCACAAACCAAATAAAAAAGAGGTTGAGTTTTTTCCAGTAAGCCAAACAATTAAAGAAGACTAAACAGTACGCGTATATATGTGCTTCACATCAAATCCAAGTCACCAGCTCCTATAATCAAAAACATTAAATTACCGGTATCTAGAACCAAAACTACGCTACAG